TTCCAGCACCATTTGTTCAAAAGACTTTGTTCCACAAAAAATTGTTTTCATTCCTTATAAAAATCAATTGGTTATATATGAGTGAGTCCATTTCTGGACTATTTATTATGGTCCATTGATCCCTTGGTCTATTTTGCAGCCATAGCACCCTCTCTTGATTACTGTAACTTTACAGTAAGTCTTAAAGTCACATGGCCTAAGTTCTCCAACTTTGCTCTTTTTTGTCAAGTTATTTGCCTATTCCATAGTCTGTTCCATCTTGAAATAATTTTAAAAACAACCCACCTCAAAAACAAGCAAACAAAAAAAAACAACCCTGCTGAGATTCTGATTGGGATTGCAATGAATTTATAATCAAACTTGGGAAAACTGATATCTTAGCAATAATTGACTCTTCCAATCAACAAGCATGGTATATTCTCTAATTTTTGTCTTCTTTAATTTCCTTTAGCTGTGATTCCTCATTTTCAAGGTAGAGATTATTTTTTTATAATTTATCATTGTGTTTTATGTTTTTTATGATAATGTATTCATTATGTTCAAAATTTCATTTTCAAATTGTTAGTTGCTACTATATGAAGATACAGTGGATTTCTGAATATCAAACATGGTATCCTGCAATCTTGCTAACATGACTTATTAGTTGTAATTATTTCTTGGGGGTGGTAGGTCTCAGAGGATATTTATGTACATGACATGTGAATAACAACACCTGTACTTCTTCATTTCCAATTTTTATAGCTTTCTTTTCTCATCTCTTTGCTCTGCACAGGACTGGCAGAAAACTAATGAACACAGTGGTAAGAGCAGGTAAACCTGCCTTGTTCCTGATCTTAGAGAAAAGTGTTCAACCTTTCACTATTAAGTAGACTGTACACTATATAACTATAGGGTTTTCATTGGTGCCCTTTGTCAGGTGATGGACGTTCTCTGATAATCCTAGTTTACTGAGAGTTTCTAGCACAAGTGTTGAATTCTGTCAAATGATTTTCTTCATTAACTGATGATCTCATCACTTTCTCCTTTATTTTGCTAATATGGTAAATTCTACTGACTGATTTTTCAATGGTACAATGACCTTGTTTTGCTGGGTTAAACCTAAATTGGTCACATTGCATTAATGAGGATGCTGGCCTAAAGTTTTATTTTCTCATAGAGCTTCTGTCTGGGTTTCGCATCAGGGTAGAGCTAATGTCATCAATTGGGAGTCAGAAGTATTCCCTCCTTGTCTACTTTCTGGGAGAGTTTTTGTCAAAGTAGTATTATTTCCCTATTAGAAGCTTGGTGTATTTCACAGTGAAGCCATCTTAGCCTAAAGTTACCTTCATGGAAAATTTTTAATTGAGTATTTAAACTCTTTGACTAATATATGACTATGTCAAGGATTCTATTTCTTCTTATGTCAATTTTAGCAATTTCTGTCTTTCAAAACATTTTTCCATTTCAAGTGGTCAAAAATATTGGAATATAATTTTCATAATATGCTTTTATGATTCTTTTAATGTCTCCAGAATCTGTAGTGCTGTCCCCTCTTTCATTCTCATTATTAGTACTTTTTCTCTATTTAAAAAAATTCTGATCATGTTGGCTATAGTTTATTAATTTTATTAATCTTTTCCAAGGATCAACTTTTGGTTCCATTGAATTTACATATTACTTTTTCATTTTATGTCATTGATATCCACTCATTAGTATTACTTTTTTACTTACTTCTGTTTATTCTGAGCACGCTTTGCTCGTCTTTAACTTGGGCACTTAAATCACTGATTCTAAGTCCTTCAACTTTTCTAATACGAGCGTTTAGTGCTCTATGACTGACTATCAGCTGAAATTGTTCACTAGCTAGAACTGTGTACGCTTTTTATATTTTCCCTAATTCTCTACTTGTGAAATGTCCTACTATACTTGTGGTGTTTTCCATTCCTCCCTTCGGAGTCAGTTTTTATTTTGAAGTCATGCTTTTAAGTGCCGTTAGGATTGCTAAGTACTCTTGACAACCTGACCCTTCTATCACGACAAAGTGCCCTCTCCTCTCCTTCTTCTGAAAGTCAGAGTCAAGTTTGCTGTTAATATTCCCATGACAACTTTCTTATCATTAGTGTTTGCAGGGGATACCTTTTTCCCCTATCTTTTTGCTTGTCAATGGTGCATGTTTAATGTGAGTTTCTTGTAGAAAACATAGTCGGCTGTAGGTTTTTTGTACAGGAAGTCTGGCAATTTCCGCTTTTCAATGGAGTCCACTGACATCACACGTGCTTCTTGGTACAGTGGACGGGGGCCTCCACATCACTACTCGTTTCCGATTTGATGATCTGTCCCTGGTTCTTTCGTCCCCTCCATTCTTGACATCTCTTCCCTCCTTTTTGAATTAAGTATTTTTTAGGATTCTCATTTTGGCTTGTTATCCTTAAATGGTTGCTCAGGGGCTTATAATGTGCATCTTTAACTTACCACATTCTAACTATAAATAATATGAAGACATTTTGACATAAGAACTTCCACTTCCCCTCCCCGCCTTTTCTCTTCCATTTCTTTGTGCTACTTTTTTGTTGCATGTTTTACTTCTGTATATGATATATGCACTACAAAATTAAATGTAACATTTCCTCATGAAACAGTCAATAGTTCTTTAAAGAAATTAAGAAATGAAAAGAAGAAATCATTGATATTTTTTCACTTATTTATGATTTCTGGGATCCATCATTCATTAATGTAGATGCAAATTCCCATTTGCTATTATTTCTGCCTAAGGAGCTTTTATCGGGCGGATGGAACACAGGACTGTGCTCTATCCACCTCTGAGCCTGCATATAGCACCTGAAACGTTGGAGGTGTTAGTTTAAAGGTTTATAGTCTGGTAAGTGCTTTATTGTTAATAGAAGTATGATGGACATACAGGAAAACCCACAGAAGGACTGACCCAGTCTGCCCAGGCATGCTCAGGAAATCTTTACAAAAATGGTAAAACAGATCATCGGCAATAAACAGACATTTTCCCAAAGGTTAAGTGAAGAAATGATAGAAAAAGAATCGCTGTTGAAATGGATGCATGCAAAGGCATACTGGAGTAAGCTGTCTTACTATCCTAGTGATGGTGAGGAGTGAGTATCTTTCACAGAAGGTAGGGTAGGCGGAACCAGGAGGGCTGGGCAGCTTTTTAAGCACCGTGAATAGCACGGCAGGGACTCTGAGCTTCCTCTCATAAGCACTGAGAAAGGCCCTAAGCCAGACAGGGTGATGCAGAAGCAAGATGCAGGGAGGGCGGGGGCAGGGACGGGGGCGGGGCGGGGGACTGAAGGCTAGAGGGAAGACATGCGTGGGACGTGGGACGTGGGACGTGGGACGTGGAGGGCCGTCAGGAGACATTTCACAGGCTCAAACCACAGGACCTGGGGTCCATCGGACTTCGCGGGAATGGAAAGGGAGGATTAGAAGGAATGAAATCGCAACCCCAAGAGCAGGGAAAAGCAACACGGAGGCCAAAAGAAACCAGAGTGAGGTCAGCAGCTTGGGTGATCCGGAGCCAAACAGCACTGCAGCCACCCGCCAGCCCTGCCAGGTGTGCGTCTGCGCCACTTTTCTCATCTGGAATTGTCACTTAGAGCTGCAGGGACCATGACATGGAAGCCAATATCAAGAGGGGAAAACAACCCAACTCGGTGACAACCTGTGCTGCTTCGAAGAACGATTTCTATGCAAGGTGGCAGCGGAGTCGAGGGGACAGGAAGACCCACTGGCTTCATGGCGGAGCAGACCCAGTGCACAGAGAGGCGGTCCTGGCAGAAGCTTCCCAAAGCAAGTGCTCTGCTGCTTCATACAAACTCAAACAAAGGCAAGCCCCAGCCAGGAAGGCGATGACTCTAAAGACTGGAAAGTGACGATGATGAAATGTGATGCTGAAAAGCCCAAGTAAGCCAGTAATTCTTGCTGAAGCCATCCTCCAATGGCTGGGAAGACAAACAGTGTTTCCTATAAACGAAAACTCTACTTATTATTTGGGGCCGTATTACTTTCAAGGCAGTTTTATAGCAACATTAACACGGGCACAGCATCCCCTTCTCTACTCAGTGGGACAGAGCTGACGGGTGGAGGGAGCGGGCGCTCCAGGGGTCATTCTCTCCCGGGTTCAAGGCTACACAGGTAAGTGTGTCACCACTGCTGCCTCCACTCTGCTGCAAGTAAATAACAGTAACCCGCTCTGTCCTGCCTGAAATGCAGGGCACCACTGGACATCAGAGTACGGGGGCCCCGTGGTAACCAGCTCCTCCGTTCCAAAGGCTGCTGGCGGCCTGGGCAGGAATCTGAGCGGCACAGGTCCCCGCCTGGCTGGAGCTCCCCCCAGCGCTTTCAGCCCCCATGACTCCCAATTCACCGGAGGTCAAAATTTTGGGTGAGGAATTGTCACTCTCGCACCTTAGAGAAGGACGCCTCTCATATCTCTGGGCACTTCTGGTCTGAAGTAGACACAGTCTGATTTCCTTCCCCCAGAAGGAAGACTAGGCCTGAAGCAGAGAATAGGAGAGGAACACTCGGCAACCAGGGCTCCCTGGGCAGAAAGGACCCGGGTCCCAGATGGCCGGGAGCTCCATGGAGTGGGGGTGCAGACGCTGGGCAGCCTGGCCCTGCACAGTCTCACAGGGATGCCAGGAGTGACCGAGACAGAGAGGCTGGACTCCTCCAGGAGCCCTGCTAACAGGGCAGCAGTACCAGCCAGGCCAGGGCCAGCGAGGCAGCACGGCCGGCACAGTGAGACCGCACATGAGCACGGTGCGGTGTTAACAGATTGTCACAGCATGCCTGAGGGGAAACCCCTTCACACACAACCCCCCGGAGAGGGACAGGCGTTCCCACACGCTGCCCAAGTCCCTGGAGGCCTTGCATGGGGCATAGTGGCCTGGACCAGACGGGAGGCGGCACCAAGGTGAGTGCCAAGGTCAGAATTCCACGCAGGACTGTGAGGCCTAGGGCAGGTGCAGGGGTCATGGGGCAGAGGCCCGTACCTGGTCGCCGGCAGGGTGCTGACCCGGGTGAAGAACACAGATGGCTCGACCTCCACGTGCAGCCCCAGTGACAGGCTCCTGTAATACCCTTCAACGTGGCCTGGGCCTCCGGAGTATTTGAAATTCAGGATGGCTTCCAGGGTCTACAAAGATGAAAAAGGGGATGTTAGTACTCCCCACGCCGAGCAGCGTCCCTCCAGGGGGCTTCACTTAGGTCAGGCTGGAGATCACCCCAGTGGTGACGTTATTAGCTGTGAGAACGCTCACCCGGGGGACACCTGGCACCCCTCTCCTGGGATGCCATGTCTACACCAGCACTTCTCAGCACGGATACGCAAACGGAAAGGGCTCCAGGATTATTCTGTGGTTGGATACAACCACCGTTCTCTTTCTGCCTCTGAATTTGATGACTCTCGGAGCCTCATATAAACGGAATCATACAGCTTTCGTCCCTGTGTGGCTGGCTTATTTCACTGAGTACAATGTCCTCAAGGTCCATGCATGCTGCAGCCTTCCTTCCTGAGGCTGAAAACCATTCCATGTATGCACAGACACGCTGTGTTTATCCCCCACCTGCCCATGAGCACCTGGGTGCTTCCACCTTTTGGCTGTTGAGAATAATGCTGCTATAAACATTCGTGCGCAAGTATCTGCTCTGAGACCTTGCTTTCGTTTCTTTTGGATATACATTTATTTACATATACTTAACTCTTTTAGAAATCCCCACCCCATTCTCCACAGTGGCTGGGCCACTCTACATTCCCACCAGCAGTGTGCAAGGGTTCCAATTTCTACACATCCTTGGCAACATTTGTTATTTTCTGGCTTGGGGTTGTTTTTTTCTCTTTTAACAGCAGCCCTTCTACTGGGTGTGAAGTGGTTTCTCGCTTGGTCTGGGTGTGCACTGTCCCACTGACTGGTGACATGTAGCGTCTTCTCACATCTCACTGGCCATCTGTTATCGTCCTTGGAGAAATGTCTGTTCAGGTCCCTCGGTCCCACTGTCGAAGCGCGCCTCCCACCCCTCCCCAGGGTGCCTTCCACGCCTGTGTTCACAGGTTCCCTTCAACTGTTGTACCTCTGCCTACAGAAGTGTCACTCTGCCTTCATGACCTTCTCCAAGAAGACTTCTATTCCTGCTCACTTAAAAGGGGCTCTGTGAAACTCAGATTTTTTTTTTTTAAATACTCAAGGATCCTATTTTGGACTCACCAAAATCTCAAACTCTTTTACCAAGGCGCAAAGCACTGCCCCGTTCTCCCCAAAGGACTGCTGGTTTCCTATGGGCATGTCTTACACTTTTAGAAAACACCCTTGTCATCAGCAGGTCACACCCCCACATTCACACACCCCAAAAAGCCTTTCTGAATCCAAGTGACTCTCATTTGTTTGGTCCGTTCTTTCATTCATCTTCAAACACTTCCTGGGTGCTTTCTGAGTGCCAGGCCCTGTGCCTGGAAGAAAATGTATGAGGTGTGGTCCCTGATCTCAGAAAACACTGGGAGAATTGATGTCTGAATAAATTAACTAAACAAATGATGCCAGCCCCTCACCCAACACACACAGCAGCTTCACGCACTACAGGTTTGCTGGTCAAGATAACAGACAGATGCCCAATGGCCTTGCAAAGCCCAAATGTGTGAAGTAACAGAAATGTCACACTGGCTTTCTTCATTTTTTAAGGTAAATTTAAAAGTCCCCTCCAGGAAGAGCTGCAGCAGAAATTATCTGGGAACTGAGCAAAAAACACCCAGAGACAGACAACTGTCAAGTACCACATAACAAAGAGGTGATAGTCTGTGTTCGTATTTTCTTGGAATTGGCTGTTTCTTTGCTCTGTAGAGAACCAAGGAAAAGATATAATTATGGGGGAAATGTGTGTCTAATTTATGAAAATCAAGCACAGGAAAGATTTTGTGAAATTATTGAGTATTACTGCCTTTCTTCCTTGATTAAGAAAAAAGCCTCCTCAACTGCATAAAATTAGAATAGTTTAATAAAACCATAAAGTGGGTTGATAATGCAAAAGACACAGAATGTTCAAGTTTTTCAATCAAAATGTAATGAGAAGCAGTGCACTATTCTGCCATAAGACTTTCCTTTCTTAGAGTATGTTACAGTCCTACTTTGAGAGAAAACTATTACAAAAATCAGTACTGGGAAAGGAATTAAAGAAAAAAAGCATTTTCGAGGCACACAGCTGGTTGTTCAAACTAAAATGAAAAGTTTTTCAGTGGCTACCTTTTATTGAGCATCTACTAAGTGCCAAATTCTAGGCTAAATGACCTACACACATTGACTCTAATATTCTCAAGAGCCCTACATGGAAAGCCCTGCTTTCATAAACAAGGCTCGGAGCAGTTAGGTGACGGCTCAAGCCACACACCCAGGAAGCAGCACATCCAGGATTTGAACCCAGAGCTACATGGCTCTACAGCCTTCTCTCTTGCCATTCATGCAAACTGTCAGAAAAGCAGTCACACACCCATCCAATCATTCACTCACTGACCTTGGAGGGATGTCTGCCACATGGTAAGGGATGACAGCAGATAACACGGCACCATCCCTGAGGAGCTCAAGTCTAGTCAAAGACACAAGCCCAAAGACATTCAATATAAATTGTGACATATTCTAGAGAAGTGTCGTAGGATATACAAAGACAAAGGAGAATAAACGACTGTGTGTGCCTGGTGGGCAGGAGTTGAAAAGAAAGGAACAACCGAACTAGGGAGACAGGATTAGGCAACTATTAAATTAAAAATAGACACAGAATAGAGGAACATCAATTAAACTGCAACTTAGTCCTTGAAAATATCGATGAAAGTGACAATCCTCTAAGTTAGGCTAATCAAATTAAAAAGAGAGACCACCAACATTAAGACTGGGATGAGCCTCAGTGCGGGGCCTTACGCATTAAAAGGATAACAAAGGAATAATGGAAACAATTCAGTGTCACTCGATCCAACGACTTCAATAAACTCAACACAGTGTCAAATGGAACCAAGAAGAAACAGAAACCCTGAAAAGCCCTAAGGCAACTGAATTCATAATTAAAAACACCCTCCTAAAAGCCCCAAGCTCAGGTGGCTTCCCAGCTGCACGCTCCCAAAGGTTTATGTTAGCGATACCACCATTTTACACAAACATCTTCAGAAAATAGAGAAAAGGCGAAAACGCCTCCATTCTTTTTATGAGGCCAGTGTTACCAAATATCAAAATCAGACAAAATCAGAGTTTACACGGAAAAAACAACCACCACAGGCCTATAGTCCCCATGAATTTAGAAGTAAAACCCTTAACAAAATATTACTGAATTAAATTCAGTATTCTATAAAATGGGTAATACAGCATGACCAAGTAAGTTTATCTCAACAATGCAAGGTTGGTTTAACATCAGAAAATCAGAGTCATTCACCGTATTAAAAGACTATTAACAGACAAAAAAAGATAAAGCCACATGATCATCTCAATAGCTTCAAAAAATGCAGTTGACAAAACTCAAAACCCATTTGTGATTTATTCAAAAACATCAGCAAACTAGGCATAGAACGGAACAACCTCAAGCTATAAAGTGCACCTATGAAAAACTTGCAGTTAAAACCGTATTTAAGGGTAAACTGAATGTTTTACCCCTAAAACCCCCAAATAAGGCAAGGACACAGCTGCCATTACCTCTATCAACAGTGCACATGAGATATTAGCAAGTTCAACAAGGCAAGAAAAAGAAGGGAAAGGCATGCGTGTCGGAGGAAGAAGTGAAAGTGCCCACAGACAACACAATCGTGTGCAAAAGGGAAAAAAATCCTAAGGAGTCGACCAGAACTCGCAGAAATTGCTGGTGGTAATGCAAAATAGTACAATTACTTTGGGGGGGGGAAACAGGCAGCTCCTTATAAATGTAAATATTTATATGTTATAGAATATATTATTCATCCATGAAACTCCTACCAAGAAAAATAAAAACATATCCACATAACGACATGTACGTAAATGTCCAGGGAAACTTCATTCATAGCAATCCCAAACTAGAAATAACCTCAATGTCCTAGAAGAGGTAGGTGACTCGATAGACTGCAGTGTACCCATCGAAGGATGCTGCTCCAATCGGATGGAGCTACAGACAACACGGAGGAGTCTCAGAAACACTCCTCTGAGCGCGAGAGGCCATGCACCCATGCTGGATGCGCGCGTGCCCAGCAGATGCTAGGAAAGCTTAGTCTGCAGTGACAAACGCAGATGGGTAGCTGCCTGGAGTTGGGGGCAGGACAGGACTGGCTGACAAGGGGTCGGGAAACCTTTGGGGGTGCTGAGAATATTCTCGGTCTGATGGTGGTTACACTACGGTCTGCATTTGTCAACACTCATCAAGCGACACAGTTAAGGTGGCTGCAAAATACACTCAATACAGTGGGTTTCAGATGTGGATCCTGACCATTAACAGACACACAGTCACCTGCAAACATCAAAACAAAAGACTCCAATCACAGTGGGGCCACACGGAGGTGGGACTGCCCGCATCTGAGGACGGGCGTGGGGCCTCAGGCGACCCAGGCTCTGTCTGCAGGGGCGTCATGAAAGTGAAGCTATGATTTACTGTAACTAAAACTCCACACGGCCTTGGAAGTCACGGCCCTTCTCTAGATCTCAGTAGCCTCAGCTGTAAACTCAGGAATTGCACCAGATATTGCCTGAGGTTCTTACCAATTTCTACGTGGATTGTCACCTTGGGTATTACTAATCTGACTCCTACTCTGAGGCTCTTGCCAGAGAAAAACAATCACCCTCATACAGCATCCTAACTAATTTAGTGTCTAAGAAATAGATCTCCAATTTTTGAAGACCCCAATGGGACCTTTCACCACAAATTTCCTTTTGCTCTATTTCTGTGATGTGACATAAGATTAATAGCTGTGACGCGACTCACTTAATAAGTCAAACATTCGGAACCAAAGGTCCCAGCTGGGGCCCATTCCCCACGAGACCAGCCCTACAGTTTACATAAGGCCGATGAAACGCGCAAATGAAAGCCGCACCATTGCTGTCCAGTGAAGTAACACTTTCAGGCAAAGTCTTTCCTCAGTGTTAATTATGCCTTAAAGAAGCCAAATGACTACAAATCACAATAAAGGGTGCATCCACAGCA